GACATAGTATTTACACAGATCTACTGTCTAACACCTCCAAAGTAGAATATGTGATTAGTTGGTTATTACTGCTTTTAGTAAATCCATACAAGTGTCAGATATTCATTGATTGTTTTTCTAAGATGACAGAGCCTATGTGTGTTAAGCTATTCTACATTTTTAAAAAAGATCTGCAGTAGACTACACGCTTTATTTCTTGATTCCTATTTCTCTTATCTTTTTTTGAACATCAGAACATTTAGCCACTTACAGTCTTTTTGTACCTTTGCCATTTTCTTTTTTTCTCAGATTTGTCAGCAGTGGTTCCATAATTACAACCACAAAGTTCTGTTTCAGGGAGGTGATTCATTTAGCTTAGAGAGTTGAACTCATTTAAGGCAGCTAGTCTTTTCACCCAATCTACATTTTGATCACTCTTTCCATTACTTTTTATCTTGCTGGTCTAAAACTCATTATCCTGAGGGAAAAAAAAAAAAGGAAGCAAAACAGAGGTTGAATAGTTCTCTTTTCTGCCTGTCATCTTTGGCCAAGTTATGACCCTAAACTTTCACTGGTTTTGCTTTAGAATTTAGACACAATGTAGGGTTGGGCATGGGTAATTATTGCCATCCAGAGAGGTTCTTTTGTTTTGTTTTTGTTTTTGTTCTAATTCTTATCAGAGAACTAGGTAATTTTGATTTGGAAAGTATATTTTTCTAGGAGTACCTTTAATAACTGTTGGTTTGTGTAAACCATCCTACTCATGATAGTCTCTGTTTTGTTGCTTTGTTGTCAGCTGTTAATTTTTACTGGTGATTTTCCATTTCATATTCTCTACATCAGTGGTCTAGTATGTATATTCTGCCACATAGAAAGTTGAGCTTCATGAAGACTGTTTCTCTTCCCTTTTTAACCTGACAGCACTTTGCTCTCTAACAAAATTCATTTCTGCCTTTGCATTTCCTGTAGTTCACACTCATGCTAAACTCCCAGTTTCAGCAGCAGATGTCTCCCATGAGCTGCTTTTAGGCTTTGCTAAGATCTCAGTTACTTAGGATAGATCCAGCTAATGAGTGGTTCTATGTGTTTGTTATTTCTTAGGGATCATTCTGAGTTTTATTTTCATGATAGGATTCTTTATAAGTAGAAGAAACTGGAAAAGTCTTTAGAGATGATTTTGTCTAAAAGTTACTTTATAGATGAAGAAAATTAAATGTAATCAACTTGTCTAAGAAATTGCCGTTGAAACCAAATTCTCTAAATTTTAGATTAGTGTCATTTCCCTGGAGGGAGAATCTTTAAAGATGAAAGAAACTTAGAAATATTTTTTTAAAAGAGAAGAAAATTCAATTCTAAAATAGTTAATAAAATTTCCCGTTGTCATAGAGCTAAATGGTAGAACTGAAATTCAAAACAGGTCTTGTTAGAGACCAGGGCTTTCTACATCATGCCTTTCTATCAGAGTACTATTTTCCTGAGCAACTCTCACGGAACATTTTTATTCTCAAATTTCCTCGTTACCTTTAATATTTGGAAAGTTTCTGTCCTTTCTCTTAAGAATAGTTAATGTTTTCTGGTGCATCATCATTTATTTTCTTAGAAATTGCTCCATTTTATCATTTCTTCCCTTTTAGATTTACTTTTTTTTTTTTTTTTTTAATTTTTTTTCAACGTTTATTTATTTTTGGACAGAGAGACAGAGCATGAGCAGAGGAGGGGCAGAGAGGGAGACACAGAGATGGAACAGGCTCCAGGCTCTCCAGCCATCAGCCCAGGAAACCCGGCGGGGCTCGAACTCACTGGATTTGGGAGTCATGACCTGGCTGAAGTCGGACGCTTAACCGACTGCGCCACCCAGGCGCCCCTAGATTTACTTTTAAAATAACTGCAGACATTTCACCTTCTTGAACCATATTTTAAGAATTTATTTCTTCTTACTTTTTTAATCTTCCTTTCAAATGTACTTACTGGACATGAATACTGAAAATATGTGGGTAAACATGTATTTGTACTTCAACCACTAAGGTGAAATTGTCTTCGTGGGAAACTAAAAATTCTTATGTATGCTATCTCTTTTACCCTGAAGTAGTCCAGACAGTTATAATATTTTCACTGTTTCTTTCTCCTGATATTTGTGGGTTATTTGTTTATAATTTATATAAATATTGAGAATTGAGTTGAAAACATTCTTGCCAAGTTGAAATGAACCTAGTACATTTTTCTTTAATAAATAGGTGATTATTAGGCCCATTGTTATCTATCGAGTAAGCAGATTTTATCATAACAACTCTTTTTATGATACAATGCTTGGCATTGACTGAAACTCAGTTGGAACTGAGCATAATCTGAATTATTTTAACTTGACATTGGAAAGCAAAGTGAAGAAAAGTTAAAAGAAGCATTGGTCTTTATATACTTGTTAAAGTTAAGTTGCTATAATGATCTGATACAGATTCTTCTTAAAATTAGACAATCCTAGAGGCCCCTGGACATCTTTGCTATAACTTTACGTTATAACAATAACTGCATATTTTCCAATGTATACATTAATTTGCTTTCAGATACGGATGGATCTTAAAAGATATGAGGGAGAGTCTTGGTGCAGATATTTCTTTAGACCATAAGATATGTTTCCTTGAATATAAAAATGTTGCACCATTATAGAGTCTTAGAATTTGAAGGAACCCCAGCAATCAGCTAGTTACCACCAAGTGCATGAATCATCTTTACAATATCTCCATTCCGATTTTTTTATCACTTTGATACATATTGTCTGTATTCTGTTCTGTTTCTGCCTCATTGTCTTTGTGTTTAGGTTCTTGATGCTATAACTTCCTTATTTTATTTCTGTCTTTTTAAACCTTTTCTATACCTTCCCCCCCTCCAGTAATTAATAAATATGAAATTTAATGAAAGTTTTCTTCCAAAATTATTTTTAAAGACATACAGTCTACTCTTTTGCATAGTCTTTTTATTGCCATAAATGTGGTTAACATCTGAAATTTGCTTTCAAATTACAGATTTTTTAAAAGTATTTTGAAATGGAAGTGTCAGTTTTGTATCAAAATGGTAAAAGTTTGTGCTATGTTGTACTTTTTCAGAAATAGTTTATATTGGAGTTGTATTTCATTTTCTACAATCTTCTGGAAGTACTAGAATGATTAACTAGAGAAAGATCTCTCAGCTAACTATAAAGCAAAGATTTTTTTCCCCAGGAATTGAAGCTAACTAGTCATATAGTTAATTTTGTAAGTGTGTGATTGTTTAAGTACATACATGAATTTGGAGGCAGTATAGAGCATGTGAGAAGGTAGTCCATCTAATCTAGTTCGTCTAGGGGTAGAGCTTTGGCAGTGTGAGTGCCATCTCTAGATTTTCCGGAAACAGTTTTATATGCCTTTACATAGATAGGATTCAGTTTGTGATACTTTTAAAGTGACACCAGAAAACTTAATCTTCTGTGACTTTGCAAGAATATAAATCTTAATGTATGTCAAACCCATCATATTAGAGACTAGAACCAAAATAGATAACAATTTTTTTTTTTTTTTTTTTTTAGGAATGTAGATTATTTTGCCTATCTGAAATGGGCCACCCTTAATGCTGCTGAAGAATCTTAGACTGGTAGGGAAAAGTGCCTAAAGCTTTGAGATTTAGGGATTAAATTTGTAATCTTTTCTTTCTGGCAGATGACATAGAGCCCATTAGGTCTATGTTCTAACTGTGTTCTAGGAAAGGATCCTACCATGTGGAGAATATGTATCTGGTTCACTTATGCTGAGCTCCACAGCCAACGCATTTCTTGAAGTAATTTTCTTAAACTTAATCACCTGGAAAGGGACAGCGATACAGTAGTAATAAATAGGTTGAGACATAAGAATGGGTCAACACGAAAAGGAAAAGTTAAGATATGGACTGGCTTCACTGTAGACCCCCTCAGCCTAAATTTCTTTACCATTTATGGGAATAGTGTAACAATAAAATATCAAATGTAAATAGAATTGGCTAGCATGTACAGACTGTGCACATGTACTAATTCTCATAAGAACCATATGAAATGTAGATGAGAAAACTGAGAAATTTAAGTACCTCTCATAAATTCAGTCAGTTAGCTAGTAAGTGACATGGTTTGGATTTATTCCCAGATCTTGCAATGCAAAATGAAATGAGGAAAGGGTGAATAAAAAATGTTGCGCCAGAAGTTCAACAGACTCTTTGGGTGAGCTTGGGCAACCATGATCACAGTTTTATGTGGCCATTAAAGGTTAGATTCCTGGATTGAGATCCCACAGCTCCAGTTTGTACATGTTCTTTAAGGAACAAACTGAGCTTCAGGTACCCAGGACTGACTTCATTTGCTTCCTCCTCCTTCTCTAAGTTAGCCCCACCTCTGCTGAGTAGATTCCTGGTATCAGCCGTTTAACAAAGAGCTCCAGTTCTAAGATGCTGTTATTTTGTGTGATATCCAACCACTATCGTCCCTATCCCTTCCATCAAGACAAGTTTCCTGATCAAAGCAAAATCATGACTACATCTAAGTAAGTCAGACTGTAAATGACAGTCTTAGCTTACCACCGCATGTGATCATTTTATGCATTCAGTTTTAGTCTTCTCTTCCTATCACTGTTGTTCTGTTATGCCTTATATTTTTAAGGCTTTGAGGGGGTTAATGTGTTTTCTCATTTAATAAAATGACACTCTTAGCACAGCTTTGCATACAATTAGGAACTAAACGAATTCTTACAGTGACATTATTTATTTTTAAGCTTAAAATTATTTATTTAATTTTATTTCATTTGAATGCCGTAACATTTAGCCAGAGTGCTAGGTCATTTTCGTTTGCAGCTGTACAAAATGATTTTTTTTCATGGAGTAGTTTTGTCCAAATAAAGAAAATTACATAATCTCGATAAAGAGATGATTTGATACATGGCATAAAGTTCCTCTTTATACGATTCTTGGCACATTTATATCTGCTTCATCACCATACTCGTTATATTAGATGAAAACTGACATTCCTTCTATACATAACTGACTTGCTCTTCAGTTTTGTCACCTTCATTTTCTGTGAGGAGAAGTGTATCTAGTAGAATGATTGATGAAGACTGAATAGTTGAACTGCAGAGCCTCATTGGGCTTTGGTACATGGCAGGATTAATCCCTTTTCGCATTCCATGTTTCATGAAAAACTTAGAGTTCTCTGCCATCGGGTTTCGAAAGTAGATATTGCTGGAGCATTTTCTGACAGTTTTTACTGATTTTGTGGCCTGGTAATTGCAGGTGATGTATCGGCCAAATGCATTCCGAAATGTCTTGTTGAAGAGGGTGTAGACCAAAGGATTCACCCCTGAGGAAACATAGCCTATCCACACAAATATCTCCAGGAGCATTTGGAGAGTAGTCTGGTTGCAGGAATCACATAAAACGAAAGTTATATTTGTAATAAAAAAGGGGCACCACATAAGCAAAAAGAGAAAAAAAACAATCCCTAGAACCTTGGAGGCTCTCTGTTCATTGGAAATGGTCTGCACTGACTTTTTTCCAACTGTCGACATTCTTCGCATGAGTAGATCATTCTTTGAGTTGGGCAGAGTTTTGTCCTTGTGAGTACCATCCAGCATTGCCACCTTTTCAGGTGATGAGCAAGGTGTTTCATCCCTTTGGAAAACTGTAGACACTGTCAGCCATGTTAGGCGTTGAGGTGGCTTGTTTTTGACCAAGTAAGCTTTCTTCTGTAAAGCGTGGATAGTGAGAAAGTAGGTGACAATCATGATTGCCAGAGGTGTAAAGAAGGAAGCCAGTGAGCCAAAGAGCATGAAGTTGCCAAAACGGTCCTTTGTTAGCACACAGGTGATGTTGCTTGGGTTATCCACATCAGTTTCTATGCCTTTAATAGGGACTGGAATGGCAATGCCTAAGGAAGAAGAAACGAGATAAATCTAGTTAATTTTATGACTTTCAACTCTTAGATTATGTCCTTTTAGACTTTATCTTAGTGACTTAATGTGGTAAGTGGTTAGTGTATTGTAATTCCTGATACACACAATGCAGAATTTGTCAAAGCACTTAATCCTTGGAAGATTTAACCAATAGAACCTCAGTAAGCAAACCTGCTGTTTTTAAACAGACATTGATTACTGATTTCGAGTTTATAATTAAAACTTCCCTGGGGTGCCTGGGTGGCTCAGTCGGTTAGCCATCTGATTCTTGGTTTTGGCTCAGGTCATGATCTCACAGTTTGTGGGATCGAGCCCTGCATCAGTGCTGGCAATGCAGAGGTTGTTTGAGTTTTTCTTTCTCACCCTCTCTCTGCCCCTTCCCCACTCTCACATGTGTGCATACACTGTCTCTCTCTCTCTTTCAAAATAAATAAACTAAAAAAAAAAAAAAAGCTTCCTAAATCTGCAGTATGTCCACGAAATGGCAAAGAATGTGTCCATTCATATCTGTTTATTGATCTATCCCAGGTTAAGGAAAATGAATTCAGAAGAGAATTTGCTTTTATCTTTATATTCGATGTAGTTGACTTAAAGAGACTTCACAGTACGTTCATAGAATATCTTAATTCTGGATAGAGACCTGTTATCTTTGAGCTACACAGTTTCATTGAACAGACATTTTCATTTTTTGAAATTCATGAATGTCTTCATCTTTTCCTTTGATTTAGGGAAAACTAAAGGTTTCATTGTTTTTTTAAAAAATGCTACTTAAAAATTTGAGAGGATGTGGATCATAAAATTTATTTTCAAGTTGAGAGTTCCTCTCATAGATATGAAAGAAATGTATCTTATGCTAATCTTCTAATACTGTAAGTGCCATGAAGTAGGTAATTAAATATGATCTTGCCTAGTGAAGTAGCTAATTAGGAAGAAAGTATACACAGGTGTTATCCTCATCCTTTCCCTTTGAAACAGCAGATCCTTAAAAGAAGTCTGAGTTAACTAATCTTTGGAAACCTGTAGAACGCTTGTGTTTTATGAATCTGAAAGTACTTCGTCATGTACACAGCCTTTTTATGGTTACTGAAGAACCTTTGCCGTAAATATTTTCCTCAAATCTATGGCTGCTTTTACTGTACTGCAGAGTTCAGTAGTGGTGACAGAAACCATATAGAGCCTGCAAGCCCAAAATGTTTACTATCTTACCCTTTGTAGGAAAAGTCGGCTAACCCCTGCTGTATGTACCCTGTTATTTCTAGGTAATCATTCCACTGTTCTTTCCCCCCTAAACCCTTCCCTTTTGAAGTCTATTTAATCTACTTACACCACTCTGTTCCCCATCCGGGTCATCTACCCAGCCCTCAGAACATTTGTCCGTCTTCCTCAATGGATTCAGTGCTTTGCTATTGCCTGTCTGCTGGTCCGTTGCCGTTACTTTCCATGATTTCACCTCACTGATGACCCTTCTAACACCGTCATTTTATGTCTCTTGAACTCAACTCTAATTCTTAAAATTATTTTTAAAATTTTAATTCCAATGTAGTTAAACATACATTGTTATATTACTTTCAGGTGTATCAGCTCTTAGTAGTAGTAGTAGTATTTTGGACTCCTGAAGCCATCCAGAAGCGCTCTTAAAACTGTCCCATATCTAAAGCTATGAACTTTGTTTGCTATTTCCCTTTCTTGTCCTGCTACTCTTCATTACTGTGGAACTTCTCTTTCCTATTATCTTGACCTCTAGTCCATTCTTCCTTCTGTTTTCACACTCCATTAACCCTCTATCAAGGCTCACAATACCTGTCTCAACCAACTTGGTGGTCAGTAAGTTACATTTTCACTGGTACTTGTTTTTTTTTTTTTAATGTTTATTTATTTTAGAGGGAGAGAGAGAGAGTGGGGGAGGAGTAGAGAGAAAGGGAGACAGGATCAGAAGGGGACTCTGCACTGACAGCAGCAGAGTCATCAGGTATGGGACTCAAACTCACGAACTGAACTGTGAGATTGTGACCTGAGCCGAAGTCAGACACTCAACCAACTGAGCCACCCAGACACCCCTTCACTGGTACTTCTTATACCCTTTTCCCCTTATTCTTTCATACCTTAGCTTATATGCCAGGTCTTACCTAGGATAACTGAACTCTTTTCAAAGCACTTTGCAGAATTTAAACCTAAACTAACCTTTACTATCCTCTGCTTTTTCTTTTACAAGGTTACTTAATTGTCACTGGTTCTACAAAACAGAGTGTGATGAAATGAACAGAGCATTGATCTTGGCCTTGGTGCTGAAAAGCTGAAAGCAGTCTTTAAGCCAACTATTTAAAACTTCTAGGTTTCTTTTCTCATCTGTAAAAGGAAAAAGTGGACTTATAAGATCCCTTCTGAAGCTATAAATCTGGAGTCTTCTTTTTATTCTTTCTCCTCTGCATACTTAACACTTTGTATTAGTCTAATTTATTATCTACCTTCCTTGAATATAAAGGCTCTTTTTTATTTATCTTTCTTTGTATTCTCGGTACCTAGCATGTCATAGGTACTCAAAGATTTGATCTGTTTATGGATTCATATGATCCAGCCTTGAGGTATCACTTCTAACAATAGGCTATTTATTGGCTTGATCATATTTCATGGTTTCAAATGTTTTAATTCTTCTTAAAGATCATTTCTCCTGTTTTCTCCCTGCCTTTGTCCCATTTCCCCACCCTACCCCAACACACATACGTCACACTGTCTTCCCTTTCCTCTCCCTCATTGCAGTGAGCTTACCAGAAAGATGTGGGTCTTTTGCCATGAGCTACTATAGTTGTCCTTCTTTGCACTTTAAATTTTGGTAACTGTTACCCATTATCTCCCATGCCCTTTCTCTAACTTCTTTTGGGGGGGCCTCTTCTGTTCTGTCAATCAGCATCTGTTCCTAAAACTATCCTCTCACCACTTGCATATCTGTCATTCTGAATAGACTTTTCCTTGACCCTAACTTTCTTCCCAAGCCAGAATAGTAACACTCCTTACTTTTACCTCCAAACTATTCAGAAGAGGTTTGGCCCTGGTATCATCATTTCAGGAATATAAAGGTCATTTTCATTGTCTTGCTTTCTTGCCTTTTTTTTTTTTTTTTTTTTAACCAAGTGTCCTTATTAATGATTAGAGAGAGAGACCATCTTTTTTTTGTTTTCCTTTTAGCATTCCAGATCTCTCTTGATTTTATTCCTCTTTAAATTCTTTTTTTGCTAGGAAGAAATGAATCCACTTGTCGGACTATTAATGTAATGATCATAGTAACTGTTGTGAATCTATTTGTTTTTCTGATGTTAACTTATAAACGGTTTGAGTTTTTTATGCTATACTTGATGCTAAGATAGTCTATTTTAGCAGCTATCTTTGAGCATTAAAGATGAGCACAACGGCATAAAAGTTTAGAAGAAATATTTCCTTCTGTAAATCATTTGTGAATATCACTTGCATCTCTCTTAAAATCTCTGATTAAACACATATCCAAAACACGTAGACATTTACTGATTTTAGTCTATACACATACTGGCTTCCAAGATGAATTTATGATCTTTAATATCTACATATAAGACATTTAGATTTTTTTCCTCTTTTCCTGTTTATCTTCTTAAATGTGATGATACTTTTTTTTTTGTCACTTGCGATTTTGCATGCTGCCTAGACCTTAATGATCTGTTTGACAAAAATGAAAACTGTTTCCAGACTTAGTCTTCCTACATGTCAAAATTAAAGCAGGAAGATATCTCAGTAAACATTGTGAAGATGGTTCCTTCAGAGCACATGAACTTTTCTCCGTTTTCACACGTATTGCTGATAGTGTGGGTTAGTAGCTGTATGATGACATGGCATAAGGAGCTTGTGTTTGTATATCAGTAGCCTGCCTTGACGTCTTTTGTTGGGTTTCACAGCCTACCAGGTCTGCTATATTTCCTAGCCAAATGGAACCAAAGACTGTTTATTTACACCACCCCACACACCCTGACATTCCCCACATACCTATTGAAATTAACCATACCACTGTAATCTTGATGAATGCTGTAGCTCGTGAGTTATATTGATTGGCCTGGATTGGCTTTTTGATGGCTATATAACGATCCACTGAAATGGCACAGAGATGCATGATGGATGCAGTAGAAAAAAGAACATCAAGAAATAACCAGGCAGGGCAGAGAACAAGTGGGAGGGGCCACACAGCCTCTGAAAAACAAAACAAAACAAAAACATATTCTCCTGCAAAAGGGCAATCTTCAATCTGTAGTTTCTTTTTAAAGTGATAATAGATTTTTAAACTTTTTATGTTATTCATCTGAAACTTTATGGTTTATCCTCCACAAGATGTTTAAGACAATGGAGTCAATAATATTAAGTATATTTCTGCAAATGACCCCTTTTAAATACATTTTCTATTTCATATAATAATTACAACATTCTTTCAAAATCTGCAGTTTAATATTTTTAACATACCATTGCTCTTTTGTCTATTCCTTTTGTGATCTTTTAAAAAGATCACGGGGCGCCTGGGTGGCTCATTCAGTTGAGCATTCCACTTTTGATTTCAGCTTAGGTCATGATCTCAGGGTTGTGGGATCAAGCCCCGTGTTGCGCTCTGAAATGAGCGTGAAGACCACTTAAGATTCTGTCTCAGGCGCCTGGGTGGCTCAGTTGGTTAAGCGTTTGACTTCGACTCAAGTCATCATCTCATGGTTCATGAGTTTGAGCCCTGTGTCAGGCTCTGTGCTGACCGCTTAGAGCCTGGAGACTGCTTTGGATGCTGTGTCTCCATCTCTCTCCACCCCTCCCCACTTGTGTGTGTGCACGCACATTCTCTCTCAAAAGTAATAAACATAAAAAAAAATTTTTTTTAATTCTGTCTCTCCCTCTCTCTGTAATGAAAAATTAAAATTTTTTTTTAAGTGAATGGGAGTCTCAGTGAGACCTGGGATTTGGGCTCAGTTCTAGCAATAACTAGCAGTATGATCTTTGTTTATACCAAACTCTCATTTGGTGAAATAATTAAGTGGAATGATTTGAGTTTTCTTTTTGACAGAAGAACTTCTTTAATAAAGTTTGCAAAAGGAATGGTTTCAGATCATTTTGAAGAAAAGTAGATTGTTATCCTTCCGTATTCCTTCATTCACTCCAGGCATTGGAGACTATGGTTTAAAAAGTCTCAAGTATAAGACATAGTACTTAATTTATGTAACAAACTCTTATAAAAAAGCATTTACTCAATATTTCATATAGTCTTGAGCACTTAAGAAATACTTTGAAAATTTTCAGGGTTTGGATATGATAACTATATTCTACATAGCTTTCCAATAAATTTACTTAGACAAGTATCCATACATATGTGGGTTTGACACATAATATATTATACACACACCCAGTATATATATATTTACAGTTCTAAAACACCTAAAATTTATTTTAGGGTTTGCCCTAGAATATTTCAGTTAGAATCCACTTTACTAAAACACACACTCACAGATTTTAGAACTTGCTATAAAAAGCAAATTACTTCTATTTGAAACAAATGTCATATATATGAGGATATCTAAATCTTTTTACAGTTTAACTGTTGTATGCGCACAGACAACATAAATTACTTTTGTTGGTTTTTCCACAATGATCTGACTTTGACAGGTATAAAATGATTAGGATAATTGAAGGAGGACCAAGATAACCATTTTAGGATTTCAGAGCACCAAGAAGAAACTCATCAGTTGTAATCTGTTTAAATTCAGGAATCCTGAGGGTGGAGAGAGGTTAGTATCCCAGAACAACAACAAAAAAGACTATAGTGTAGGAAAAGAGTTTTGAAATAGACTTGAATATGTTATTTTCAAAAGTATGCGAATTAATGTTTGAGAAGGCTCTGAGAAAGATTGTGTCTTGGCTCTTAAAAGATGCACCTACCTTTGTTTGCTGATATAGGTTAGGTGCTCAGAATGCCTCATATGAAAAAATTTATGGAAGACCTCTCAAAATTAATCAAGTATGGTAGAGAAATCTGTCTTTAAAAGAATCTAATACTATTTTTAAAGAATCTATAGTATTTAGATTTTCTGTTAAGTAGAAAGGGACTTTGGACAGTGAAAGACAGCAGTGGACCTGAGCTTAAGTAAACTAAGAGTCTAAGTGAGTGAAAATAATGACATATGATTAAGAGAGTTTTGCAGTGGAAATGACTTGAAATGAGGCTACATTCTGTGGTAAAGTTCTACATTTAGGACTGAGTAGTAGAAAAATACTCAAGTCTAGAGCTACAACAAGAGATACTGATTATAGTTTTAAATGTGCCTATATAGGTTTTCTAATTATGGGTTCTTTGTCTTTAAATTAAGATCTGGAAAATTCTAGTCATAAATCTAGTAGCTGTGATAGGAAGCCACAATAGAACTCTCATGTAAAAAGGACAGATCTTTGGAAAATAGACTATTTGACCTACATATTCCTAGTTGTGAGCTAAAGCTCTTTAGTGCTCATTTAATTAAGCCTGTGAAGCCTTGTTAAGCTCACTTTCCAATAGAATGAATTTATTTTATAAACTCCAATTTTGGAACACAAAGTGGGCATTAAAATTAATGCAGATCACTAGAATTTTATTATTTCAGTCAGTACTTACTGCTAACAGTAGAAGTACTGAGGCGTAATAGAAAAAGTATTGCTAAGTACTGAGGCGTGATAGAAAAAGAGACTGTAATAGGTTTAGGATTAAGAGAGATGGATCTCTATGATTAACCTTTATAATTGCAAGTTTCATGAAATACTAGTCAGTAGACTTTTTATGAAATGAATATAAAAGTAACATGACTGCATTTAATTAACAAATCTTTTATATGCTTGTCTAATTGCTTAAGTAGGTTCAGGTAATGCAAGAATTTATACAAATTAAAAGCAGTTATAGACATTCTCAAGTTATTCTCAAATTGTCTTTTCAGTTAGCATTAATTTGATAGGCTCAAGGTCAGAAAAGTTTCTTACTAGAGTAACTAGGGGCACCTGGGTGGCTCAGTCGGTTAAGTGTCGGACTTAAGTTCAGGGCATGATCTTGCAGTCCGGGAGTTCGAGCCCCGCATTGGGCTCTGTGCTGACAGCTCAGAGCCTGGAGCCTGCTTTGGATTCTGTGTCTGTCTGTCTGTCTGTCTGTCTGTCTCTCTTTTTTCCCCCCCCCCCCCACTCACACTCTGTCTCTCAAAAATGAATGAATGTTTAAAAAACTTTTTTTAATAAATAAAAAAATTTAAAAATATTGGGTTTTGGCTGTCCCTAGAGAAAATTCTGTGGCTGTCTTTTTTTTTTAAGCTTTTATTTGTATTTATTTTGAGAGTGAGAATCCCAAGTGGGCTGTGCACTGTGAGTGCAGAGCCTGTCACAGGGCTCAATCTCACAAACCTCAAAATCATGACCTGAGCCGAAATCAAGAGTCAGATGCTTAACTGACTGAGCCACCTAGGTACCCCAATGGCTGTCTTGTTAGATAGTTATTTAAGATATAAATGTTGGCTGTTTGCCAAATATGACTGTTTAGGTTGGTATGATTTCTCATTTCATTTGAGAAAGCAATGTAGAAGAGGTTAAGAGTATGAATTCTGGAGTCATTCTCCCAGATTCAAATTATGTCTCTTCCATTTATTTATTCCTATGTCCTCTCTTGTAAAGTAGGGATATGGTGATGATGCCCATTTTATAGGTTTGCTTTGAAGATTAAATGCTGTACTACATGTAAAGTGTTTAGAAAATGTCTGGCATAGAGAAAGCACTCAATAAATGTTAGTTCTTATTACTATTATTATCTGACAAAAACTAGCCAAGTAGCGTAGCCATTAAAACACTGCTACTTAGAAATGTAAGTCATATCATTGCTATAAAATCAGTATGTTTGTCTTCCTGACTGCTGTAGCAAGAGTGCATATATCCAGGGGCACCTGGTGATGCAGTAGGTTGAGCAGCCAAAACTCTTGATTTTGGCTCAGGTCATGATCCCAGGTTTGTGGGATTGAGCCCCCTACATCGGGCTCCATGCTGAGCATGGAGTCTGCTTGGGATTCATTCATTCATTCTCTCTCTGTCTCTCTCGCTTTCTGTCTCTCACTCTCCCTCTGCCCTTCTCCCTTGTTTCCACGTGTTCTCTCTCTCTCTCTCAAAGAAAAAAATTTTGTTTCCAAAGGGGGGAAAAAATGAGTGCATGTATCCAATTGAATTTAAATCTGTACTCTTTAAAAAGCATGGGAACATGTTTAACTGTTTATTTTTTTTTTTTTAATTTTTTTTTCAACGTTTATTTATTTATTTTTTTTTTGGGACAGAGAGAGACAGAGCATGAACGGGGGAGGGGCAGAGAGAGAGGGAGACACAGAATCGGAAACAGGCTCCAGGCTCTGAGCCATCAGCCCAGAGCCTGACGTGGGGCTCGAAGTCACGGACCGCGAGATCGTGACCTGGCTGAAGTCGGACGCTTAACCGACTGCGCCACCCAGGCGCCCCTAACTGTTTAAATTTGTCATGAAAGTATGCCTTTTTAACTGTCTATATGTGTGTGTCTAACTATAAATAGCAAACATAAATAACTTATGTTCATTGCCATGCTTGGCTATTTATGTGTATTTATTTGTTTGTTTATTTTGCTTTCTTTTTAACTGGTATAAAAACCTAAATTTTTTAACCAGAAACTCCATTTCTTGATGAGATAGACTCATTTTATCTGAACCTTGCTTAATCTTTGGGCAAGTTTTTAGTTTGGAAAGCTGAATTATTAGTTTAGAAAGTAATTAAAATTAATATGTAAGTCTGGGATATAAGATATTTGCCTTTTGAGTATTTTAAAAGACTTTTTTTTTAATGCTTTTTTATTTATTTTGAGAGAGAGAGAGAATGAATTGGGGAGGGGCAAAGAGGAAGAGAAAGAGAATCCTAAGCAGGTTCCACACTGTCAGCACAGAGCCAGACATGGGGCTTGAACTCACAATCCATGAGATGCTGACCTGAGCCAAAATCAAGAGTCTGACGCTTAACTGAGTGAGCCACCCAGATGCCCCTAAAAGACTCTTTTTAAAGCTATCCCAAGAGGGCTGTGCCTTTAGAGATTACCGAGGTAAACAGTGTTAGAGCAGGACAAGGCCTAATAATCCAAAAAGGCATAGTTCTCAAAATAGCCATTTTTTTAAACCTCAGAAATTCTTATGTTTGTATCTTTATCTTCCAGAAAAGAGAGACATAGATCAGTGCTTCAGTCTTTATTATGAAGCTTCTGTTTTGTTTTTGTTGTCATTTTCCTATTACATTAGAGCATATAAAATATTCTGGGATTAGATGTCTAATATGATAGTGTTTTAAATGTTTCAAGTGATTTAATACTTAGGAAAATTTTTTTCTTGGTTTTTACATTTCCACTTTTCCAAAAAGAAGTGCTTTAATTGCTTTGCTCCCTCATTTAAGAATTAGAGCAACATTTCACTGCGTAAGTGAATAACTGATGTTTTTTTCTTTTTCTGCTGTACATCTGTTTCATCTCTGGTCAGACTTACACCTAAACTAAATCACATATTTAAGTATATAAACTCTTCTCATACTCCACTTGCCAATTATTTGTGCCTATAATGTGTCCCTATTTGACCATTTAACAAGGTATCTGCAATGTCAGTTTTAGCATATCCGTTTTCCAGACAAGGTGATTGAACTGATGTGAGTGAGTTTCCTAAGCCAACACAGGAGAACCCTGATTCAGAGCCTGGGTTGTCTTGCTTTAAACCTCTGTAACCTCTATCTTTCAGCCATTTTATTTTATACACCCTCTTCCAGCTGTATGACAGATACTGTTCCAGCTATAATCGTGAGGCATGAGTTAAAACTTAAGTTATAAATAAACTAGTAATGATCAATGAATGACCAAACACTGTTATTTTCTCCTTTACATTTTTAATCATTTATTTAAGGAGAGAAGGGAAAGTCCAGAGAATTTCTTAAACTGTGAGTGAATATTCTGTCTTTTTGGTATTAGCACATGATGTTCTGTTTTCCTTTGCATCCTATTCAAGTATTTCTAATGTAGGCATTTCCAAGCCTTCTGTCGTAAGCTACTAACTTGTGATTGCATTTTTGGAATTACATGCAGGACAGTAAAAACTAGAACTATAAAGCAAAGTTAGTGCTCCCAGAGCATTGACATAGGTATCACAATTCATTTGAGAGACCATGTTGGGCCAGTCATAATCTTGGTAAAATAGAAGTTCTATAAAAAAAAAAAAAATTCAGACAATATTGAAAAAAAAAATTCAGACAGTTTATGATCAAATAGTATATAAATCATTGGTTGAATAAAATACTCTGTACCATAAGAACCAGTTTTAAAATGTTTAACTTCTCTCCTTTTTTTAAACTTAGTTTTAGTAGAACATTAGTTAATGTAAAGTTTCGTATGATAATTTCATTAAATTTCCCTGAGATGAGTAAAATCACTCATACCACTCAGTAGTAGTTAATTTTTTTATGTTTACAGAATTGGGGACACTGTACCGACTTCAGAAGTTTGGAAGATTATTCCTGTAATGAGAGAAAAATACACAAAATCTGTTCCTGTCTTTTAGATTTATTAGAAATTCGTATAAATGCATTAATTTAGAAAGTCTTTGTTAACATGTGAACGCCTATCAAAAAAATCTTAGTATTTGAAGTCAGGTCCCAATTTATAGTATGTGCAGTTCCCAATTTATGAATGTATCGTTTTGAAGCTTTTTAGAAGGCAGAGTATGTATTTTCTCATATCCTTTCTCATAGAAAAAGAACAGCGTTAAAAAAAAAAAAAGAACAGTGTTTTCAATAATGAATTTAATGCAATAATTTTTTTAAATAGAAGTTAAATTCCCAGGTTAGTTTATTTTTTAAAAATCGAATCCCCCTATAGAGCTTAATTACTGATAGTAAAAGTGTTTGGGACTATGAAAGATTTTATTTTGTAATTAAAAATTAACAACATTTGGGGCGCCTGGGTGGCGCAGTCGGTTGAGCGTCCGACTTCAGCCAGGTCACGATCTCGCGGTCCGTGAGTTCGAGCCCCGCGTCGGGCTCTGGGCTGATGGCTCAGAGCCTGGAGCCTGTTTCCGATTCTGTGTCTCCCTCTTTCTCTGCCCCTCCCCCGTTCATGCTCTGTCTCTCTCTGTCCGAAAAATAAATAAACGTTGAAAAAAAAAATTTAAAAATTAACATTTGAAAGAATGAAGTGTAGTTAAAACATATTATTAGGACAAAAATAGGAAGACATTCCATATATTTTATGTTAAAATATGTTGGGTTTTCTGCTAACATTTATTGGCAAGAATATGTTGGGCCCAAAAAATGTAAATATAAACTTAGTTGTCAGTTGCACATACCTACTATTTTCCTATGGAATACATGGAATTATCTCTCATCTGTTTTTGTGTTTTGTCAGGTCACTTTAATACTATGGAACTTTGCTTTTTAAGATTCCTTAACTATTTAGCTGATAACTTGAATGTCTACCACAGTATTTTTTTGTATGTAGTAGATTTTTGATATTTTTGGACTCGTGGACTTTAAAGTTAAAATTTAGTTCTGTGTAACTCATTCTATCTCATTTGTTCAATATAACATCAATTAAGTTTTATGGTAGTATAAGATGAGCATTGTAACATTTGCTGTATGCCTATTTAAAGAGTGATTTTACTGTTAAGTTACTATTGTGTGTGCAGAGAAAAGAGCTTGAATCAAATCTCTGTACAGTCTTTACCGAATATACATAAATGGTTCTATATAATCCTCATTTTATTTCTTTTAGACTTTATTCAGGATAAAGATCCTTTGGGTTCTCCTTTCGAGTATGATTTATTAATTATTTTCCATGGTTACATGTAGCACTAAATTATTCAGAAGGTTACAGATTTACAGAAGAGAAGGGGAAAGATAGACATTATTAATGATTAGAGAGTCAATTAAAGCAGTGGAAACTTATTTATTACTGCGTGTCCTGCTACAGAATTTCAAGCCTGGATAAATGTTGATTTAGAGTGAGAAGTTTTAACCTGTCACCATCTGATATTTGGGGGATCAAACACTTAATTTTAGATATCTCTATAATTACTTAAAAATGTAACATTTAACCTAAATATAATAGTTTAAATTGGAGTTTTTCTTCTCCTTCTAATATGTATTCTAGTTAAATAAACTTTACTTTTCTAACCTGAAGTATTTTTATACTCACTATATAAACATAATTTCAAGGAGCCCTATCTGCTGCAAATAATCATTTTTCTTATGCAGTTAATGGATGGAATATCAATTTATGCCAGGCAATGAATACGTTAAATATCCTTTTAATTCTGATTCTTAGAAGCCCTCATAATTTATTAGAATTATTTGAATTTACCCACATTCTATTAACTAGAGAGGATATGCATAAATCAAAACTAGTTCATTATAATATCATTATCTTTTTATTATAACAAACTAATACTTTAATATTGAACTACATTTTATTGTAATAACTCAAGTTTTGATCACTGATTGTAATAACTTATGTTTAATAATTTTTGATGTTATTTTAAATAACAATTTAAAGTCCGATTTTTCTTACATGTATCAAGGACCTGGATGGTCAGAAATCATAAAAATTAAACAGATGAATCATCTTTTAGAACACTGTGAGCCAGACCATTTCCTTTAGCAACTAAACATAGTATTTTCTTAACATGACACTGGTGTAAGAATTATGTTTAAGTCTAAAGTACACAAATGATAAATATAACAAGAATTTTAGAACAATTCCAGTTTTAAATTTGGGTTTGGTGATTCAAATTGGAATTTAGTTACTAAAGATTTTATCATTAATAAGTAACTCAGCACATAACTGTCACAGAAGTGTCCTAGCTATTACTTTGTCAAGGGAAAAATATATTAATAATGGGGAAGTTAAAGTACAGGTCTGTTCTTCACTATAATTTTTAGGTGATGAATGCGGAATCTATGAATATTGCTAACTTGGATGATTTTTTAAATGATGGCTAGGAAGGAGTAGAATTTCTAAGAAATTATTTTTTGCTCTTTAAAATTGATTATCAGCGATAGGAAATGATGGGAGTAAGAGTCTGTTTACTCACTGTATCTTTAAATAGTCTAAGTTCACCTTTAAAGACTAAATGAGTATCCATTTTTCTAACAGTATATCACAGTTCTGTGGTTTGATGTCAGGAACAAAGTGAAATACTTACCAAACATTATTGTCAAGAGGGCAATCGGCATCACAAACAATCCAACCAGCAAATCAGCCACTGCTAAGGACATTAGAAAATAATTGGTAGCGTATTGCAGCTTTTTCTCCAGTGAAACCGCCAGAATAACCAGGATGTTCCCACCAATCGTGGGTATTATCACCATGAGTATCAGAAGAGCAGCCCAGCGCGGTTTATTTCCCTGTTGCTCACCAATCTGTTTCATTTCTTCTGGTATTGATTCTGTCTGTAATCCAGACCAGTTAGCAAAGATTAAGCGATCAAATGAGCTCCGCAAAGTGTGCTCAGGAATTCTGCTTTGTTCTGATATTCTATAAGAGAAGGCCATTTGCTGTTTTTGTGTGATTTGATCCAATTCCGGACAATGGTCAGCATGGTCAGTAGCTAAGCTGGTCATCTGCTTTTTAAAGGCATTGTACCCAGGCCATAGAAACACTCAAAAGCCAAAGTTGACTCCTTCCTTTAAAAAATATTTTCAGGTTCTCTAAAATGAGAGCATACATCATCTGTCCATTTCTGTAGGTAAGGCCCAAGTATTTAGTCTTCAGCAGAGGCTCCACTTTCGTAAGGCTTAGTGAAAGAAACTGATAGCTGTGAAAGAAAGACTGTTGATTAGTTTCTCTTGCTCTCTTTTTTTTTTTTTTTTTTTTTTTTTTTTTTTTTTTTTTTTTTTTTTTTTTGCTGTAGTGGTAGACTCCTGTTTGAATTTGAATGCCAGTGAGTTCCGAGTTTCTCCCTAGATGTATAAAATATGTGAATTGCATTATTTTATTTCTTTATTTTAAAAAAATAGTTAAACACTTGAGCTTAGTAGCCCTTCCCATCTGAACAAGTCTCTTTGTGCACTTGTGGCAATGCAACTTAGTTCCATAGTCATATTCCTGATATGCCTCAGGTTATGAAACAGGAGATACATTAATTTTTTCAGTAGTCATAAAAAAAGGCTAGCTGTTTCCGATCCTTGAATGTCTTTTTACCTTTACTCTAGAATATGTACATAAGAATAGAAACATCAAAGCACTAAATAGTTCTGAATAGAACTTTTTGGTACACATTCACCTAGAAATACTTCAAACCCATGTAAGGTCCAAATAAACTATTTCCCAGCTAGGAATCCTTGTTTGTAGTTGGGTTTATCTGATCAAGTTTATCTTAATACTGATGTAAATAACATTTTTATGAAACATTTTATAAGTCCTTTAGTTTGAGAGAAGGAAAAAAATAATTACTAGAATCCAAATAATTGTTTTTAGTAACTTTATCTTTCAAAGAAAGCCTGTTTCTGCAACAACAAATATTCTCCAAATTTATCACTTTACACCAAATTTCAAACAGTTCCTTCTTTTGGTTTTAAGTAATCGTTTTCTCCCTTAACCTCTCCAGTTTCCTTAGGAAAGGAGGGTAAGCTGAGAGGAAGGTTAAACCATTTATTCATAAAATCTGTAAATCCCCTATTAAATATCTCTCCTTTAACATCAGTAAATTTTCATTTAGGCTTTTAAATCACTGAATAGAAATGAAAGATAGCAGTTTTTTTTGAAGAAAGAAAAAAAAAACTTTCAGATTATTTGTTAAATACTTACCTCGTATTGTCAATCTCCCAAGCATGTTATCTTATCTGCTCGGTAGACCTGTTTGCTGCTGTGACTGAAGTTCTCCCGTGGACTTATTCAGAGCCTCCAGCACTGGCACTTGAAAGCAGTGAAACAAATGTGTTGTATAGCTGCAAGCCTGCCAAGAAGGTTATTTCCTCTTTGATACATTCATTTTTAGAGAGTAGCAGCATTCATTATAATTCATAAAACTACCAGTTAAGTATGTTGAACCAGTTCATGACCCTATTCATGTTATGTTTGTAAGAGCTTTCTTTGATATTTGGGGGAATGAAATAAGCCTCTGTCATTCTAGTTTAAGATAGTTTTGTTTCAGATTAATACTGAGTTGTTTTTCCCATTTGAGAAAAAATAAGTCCAGAAATTCTGGAGCTTGCATTCTGTGAAGATTCTGCCCTGTGAGCCTTACAGTAATTTCCAGAGTTCTAGTTTCAAAACATGATTCTTATCCAGCTTTTATGTGTTTGCTGTGGAACACAATTAATTCTCTCTGGTTGCAACCTTATATAGAAGAGTGCAGAAAGGTCTGCATTCTACTTGTATACATAGGTTTTAGCAGAAACTTTCATTGCTCATTTTTTAAACAGATGTCCTCTGGATTGGGGAGTCGGTTCTTTGGCAGTTTTTTTTTCCTCCACAGATGTATTGGGGAAAGCATACAGAATGTAATGAAAATATATTCCTGCCTTATTTTAGAAAATTGATATAAAAATTTTAACAGCTATGCAAAGTTTTTCTAAACTGTAAGACTAGCTTATTAGCATTAGAACTTCTAGCATTCTCAAAATTTCCTTTTAAAAGATCATCATAGATCCCTCATTTTAATTTTTTTTTTTGACATTTATTTATTTTTGGAAGACAGAGAGAGACAGAGCACTAGTGGGGGAGGGGCAGAGATAGGGAGACATAGAATCCGAAGCAGGCTCCAGGGTCTGAGTTGTCAGCACAGAGCCCAATGTGGGGCTCGACTTATGAACCACAAGATAATGACCTGAGTTGAGGTCGGACACTTTACCAATTGAGCCACCCAGGTGCCCCATAGATCCTCATTTTTAAAGTGTTTAATTACTTCCAGGTCAGCCATAGCATTTGTGCCCTTTTTCTGTTTCAAATTTATATTCCTTAGCTTGTGTGGAAAATACTTGATTCATTTCAGTTCTACTGAGCAATTGAGATTTTGTTCAATATTTTTTTAACTCAAAATTCAGTATTTTATAAAAAATATTTGCTATGAATTTTGAGTATGAAAACATATAAAATAATATTCAAGTGGATTTTAATGTTCCAGGATTCTCTGCAGGAATATGGAAATATTCTGAAGCACTGCTTTATTCTGAATCACAGTTTAGTACCTGTCACACAATAGGAACATTATATTCAATGAAAAGACTTGTCTGAAACAAGTTTATGTTTACAGATACCTTCATGTATTTGTGTTTATAGATACCATGTTTGTTTGTTTATTATTCTTTCAATGTTTATTTATTTTTGAGAGAGAGAGAGAGCGCACAAACAAAGGAGGAGCAGAGAGAGAGGGAGACACAGAATCTGAAGCAGGCTTCAGGCTCCAAACTGTCAGCACAAAGCCTGACAGGGGTTTTGAACTCATGAACCGTAAGATCATGACCTGAGCCAAAATCAGACGCTTAACCTACTGAACCACCCAGGTGCCCCTCTAGATAAAATTTATTAAAATATTCATGGAATATATTTTTAAAATGATGACCATTATTACTATTATACTGCTTTACCAGTACTAACCCTCTCACCCACATTCGCTCACCTTTTTTTTGATCGTAAGTATAAGTAGTTAAAATTGGTGGTTGGATTATTTTTTTCTATTTTTAAATTAGTTTAATGGGGAGGGAACATAGCTAGTTCAAACTACTTGTTTGGCAATTTTGGGTTCTTAGAAGCATAGCTGATAATCAGGAAAAAAGCAAAATAATAATAAATAGATGAAAGGTAGACAAATCTCTCAGTTGACAATAACTATAAGCCCTCTAAAAACTCACGCATGTTAGATGGAAAGCAGCCTATAAGTCCTCAATCCCAATCCCTTTACATATATACTCACAGAAACATGTCTCTCTCTCCTCTTTAATGAAAATACCACTTGCACGTGGTGGTAAATCTAAATAGTACAAAAGAATGGTCAGTGATAGGGGCGCCTGGGTGGCTCAGTCGATTAAGTGTCTCTTGATTTCATATCAGGTCATGATCTAACTAACGGTCGTGAGATCGAGCCCTGCATTGGGTTCCACATGAGTGCAGAGTCTGCTTGGGATTCTCTATCTCCCTCTCTCTCTGCTTTTTCCCTGCTCGCACTCACTTTCTCTCTCAAAAATAAAGAAAGAAACTTCAAGAAAAAGTTCAGTGATAAATTCACCCTTGAGACCGTTTTAACAAACATTTCGATGCCTACTCCATAAGTAGATTAACAAATTAAAAGGTGGACAAGCACTTTGGTGATAGCAGAAGGGGTCCGCTGAAGAAACAGGAAATACAAAGTATAGGCATGTAGGTCTACTCAGAATAGAGGCTTGTGGCTCACCTGTAACTCAGCCCTTCACAATTTTATGTGGTATAATACTTGCTACCAGAGTGGTTACTTCTACATATTTAAGAAAAGGTTAAGTCATCTTTATTTAGCTCTGTTTTAGATGGCAGGAATATGTGAAATGCATTTTTTAAAAGATTGCCATCCCAAATGACAATTATATAAAAGTATGATTCTTAACTAGTTGGATGAAATTTCAAATATCTGGAAACTTCATTTGTGTGGAATATCTCATTTACCAAGAACTCCAGATAAATTCTTACTAAAGTAGCTTAAAGTTCAGATTCAGACTCTAATAATTGGTGCATTTTTTCTAAAATAATGAATTTTGTCCCTGGTGCCTTTTTAATTAACTTTTTTATTTTTTAAGTTTATTTATTTATTTTGAAAGAGAGAGTGCACGAGCAGAGACGGGGCAGAGAGAGAGGGAGAGAAAGAATCCCAGGCAGGCTCCAAGATTTCAGTGCAGATCCCAATATGGGGCTTGATCCCACGAACCCTGAAATCATGACCTGAACCGAGATCAAGAGTCAGGTGTTTAACTGACTGAGCCATCCAGGCACCTCCTTTTAATTTATGGAACAGATTCTATCTTTGACGTAAAAGAGCAGTCTAAGACTCAGATTGTCTAAAACTGAACTTCTGCTCTTTCCCTCCAAATCTGCTCTATGTATTGGTTTCTTTATCTCTGGCAAAGGTATTTGCATCCTTCCACTCTCTTTTTCTCACATTCTGCATGTTATCCGTCAAGAAATCTTGTTGGGGCACTTGGAAGGCTCGGTCGTTTAAGCGTCCAACTCCTCATTTCGGCTCAGGTCATGATCTCCCAGTGTGAGTTTGAGCACGCATATGGCTCTGTGCTAGTGGCACAGAGCCTGCTTGCCATTCTCTCTGCCTCTGCCCGCACCCCCCCCCCCGTTTCACTTCAAAATAAAAAAATAAATTTAAAATATCTTGTTGGTTCTACCTTCAGTATGTGTGTAAACACACACACACATATATATGTATACGTATATACATGTATATATATATACACTGAATTTCCCCCCCCACATCTACTGCTGCCATCTTACCTTACTAAGTCACCATCATATCTTGACTGGATTTCCAGGTAGCCTCTTAACCAGTCTTCTTTCTTCTACCTTTGCCCTCTATTCTCAGTAAAGCAGCCAAAATGACCCTTTTAAAACAAGTCAGATCATATAATTCCTTTGTTCAGAATTC